GGCTCCGGCACCCGTACCCCCTAACCGGAGGACTCCTCGGCCTGACCTATGCGCATTAAGCTCGGTCTTTGTATCTACGCACCATTTAGGGTTCAAAGGCCATGCTTCCGGGCTAGGTGCCTAACAGTCCATCGTAGCGCTTGTGGACCGTTCAGGGGTTTGCCGAAAGTATTTGGCCCTTCTGGGTGTCCTGAACCATGAGCAATACCCCCCCCCCCCGCCGTAACTGAGGTCAACCCCATATAGTTCCCTGATGATAGGGTCTTTCCTGGTGATCATTCAGTACCAGACCCTGAGTTATGTGTCGCACTCATGTATTTTAATTTAAGGAGAGTTTTCAGGCTTATTTTCGACTGGGCAGCACGGCAGCACTGACGGCAGCAGGACGGTGTGCGTTTGCGATGCACAGACAGGCAACTTTGGCAAACACACGGAGGGGCCTGGAACCTCCGAAGAGATTGTTCTTGCGACTGCTCTCCGCCCATGGCAGCGCTGCCGGGCTGTCGCTTGGGCATCCGGGTTCTTTACAGGGCCCAGCTGCTACTTTTGTTGGGTGCAGGCTGCCGGTGCAGTGCTAGCGTGTTGCATAGCAGGCGGGCGCGCACCTTCGGGGGCGCAGCGACCACGCTTGAGTGAAACAGAACCTCTAGAAGCCAGGAAACATGCCTTGCGAAGTGAGCAAAATACCCCAACTATAAGTTTAACACATGAACTGCGTACGGCATATTTTGGGGTTTTAGAGGGGCCCCATGTACTATGTGAAACCTATCCAAACAAGTGAAAGAAACCAAAAGCACAGATTAAAACCATGTAGCCTACTGCACGTCTTACTTATAAAATAGAGTGACGTTGAAAAAATTCTCATTAAGTATAGTAGGGTGAAGATTGAAGTAAAGAAGACAACGAATCCTGCATTTTTATGTGGTGTAGCTTTTTGACATAGCACATTGGCCTCGGATATTCCACCTTTCTGGGTGTCCTGAACTGAATACCCCTTCCCCGCAATTGAGGTTCCCACATAGCCCATCGAAGTGTAGTTGTTTGTTCAAAGCCAATTGGGCCCCTAAACCCCCAACCCTAAACCCTGAACCCTCAACCCTAACTCCTGAAACCCTCAACCCTAAATCCCGAAACCCTCAACCCTGACCTAAATCCCGAAACCTCAACCCTAAATCCCGAAACCCTCAACCCTAAAACCTCAACCCTAGATCCCCAAACCCTCAACCCGCAACCCTCAATCCGAAGCCCTCGAAATCCCGAACATCTCGCCCTCAACCCTAAACCCTAAACCCTAAAACCTAAACCCGAAACCCTCGAAATCCCGAACATCTCGCCCTCAACCGTAAGCCCTAAACCCGAAGCCCGAAACCTGAAACCCGAAACCCGAAACCCTCGCTCCCTGGCCGCAGCTCTGCATCGCTGACTGGATGAGTCGGAGCCTTAAAGTGCGTAGCTCACCTGGGTGTCGGTGAGGTTTCAGGGTTTAGGGCTTAGGGTTTTAGGCTTTAGGGTTTAGGGTTTAGGCCGAAGCCCTAAACCCTAAACATAAAAGGATTAAGAAAGTTAGGTGTCCTAGGCAACTACATCCCGCTCCCCTCTCTAGTCCTGTAGTCCTAACCCCTAAGCCGCCACGACCCTGACTCTAAACCCCTAAACCCCAAACCCGAAACCCTAAACCCTAAACCCTAAACCGCCACAGGCTTCGGCTTTAGGCGTTTAGGCAACACCAGCTTGCTTGCTCCAAATTCTTGTCCGTTTCGGGTTGGAGTTCCCTCCGAGTTGCAACAAACTAAGATCGACCCCCTAAGCCGTAAGGGGTTTAGGGCTTGAGGGTTTAGGGTTTAGGTTTTAGGGTTCCTAAGCCCGAAAGCCCCAAAGCCCAAAACCAACACCCCAAACGCCAACCCCAACCCCCGAGGCCCCAAAACCCCAAACAACCCTCAACCTTTGAGCCCCAAGCCCCAAAAAACACCCAAGCCCCTAAACTCCTAAACCCTCAAACTTAAACCCCTAAACCCGACCACAATTTGGAAACCGTAAACCCTACACCCTACACCCTACACCCTACACCCTAAACCCTAAACCCTAAACCCTAAACCCTAAACCCTAAACCCTAAACCCTAAACCCGGAACCCTAAACCCTAAACCCTAAACCCTAAACCCTAAACCCTAAACCCTAAACCCTAAACCCTAAACCCTAAACCCTAAACCCTAAACCCTAAACCCCTCGCTGTGCTCAGAACCGGAGTGCTGAAGCTTCCCTTGGGCTGAGCCGCGTCGAAGCGTCGAAGAGTCGAACCCCCTGCGAGGGGGTTCCCATACCCTCGACGTTGAGGGTTTAGGGTTTAGGGTTTCGGGTTTCGGGTTTCGGGTTTAGAGGCTCAGGGGTGCAGGGTTTAGGTTTTGGTGTTTTGGGGGTCTTAGGGTTTACGGTTTAGTTCTCAACCTCCCCGGAGAAAACACATTAACGCACACAAAGTCCTGCATCCTCAATGACATGCCAGCCACACATGCAACAGGGAAGGCTTGAGGTTTCCTGTTGATGCCTTCTGACTCTTTCCCCTCTTGTTGGGTTCAAGGGTACAAGGCAACCCACCCCAAGCAGGGTACCCTGATCATTGTATGGTTCCTAAACCCTAAACCCTAAACCCTTAACCCTTACCCCTAAACCCTAAACCCTTACCCCTAAACCCTCTACCAAGCCTCATAAGGTAGCCCCGCCCCCAGAAGGGTACCCTTTGATTGTAAGATGGTTACCGGGGCTACCAAGATAAACTTGGTGAGTCCGCTCTGAAACAAGTCGGACTCTGCTGACGATGACATGAGGTCTACTAAGTTGCTTTCCTAAGCCCGGAGCCCTAGAAGCCCTAAACCCGAAACCCTAAACCTAAAGGGTTTAGGGGTTAGGGTGAAGCTTGAGAGGGGAGCCTGGCGAGTGGTATTCCCTCTTGTCATATCTCGGCGGAAGGATCTGGAAACAGATGCTGCTCTTTGCATATTGCTATAGTTTGTTGTGTATCAGTATATGTATATACACACGACATACGATTATGTAATTACTACATTTGTTGTACACTACTCTTATTCTCGATTTGGCTGCTTGCACAGCCCGTGTGCGCATGTGCCTGTTCCCGGGTCTGTCTGTGTTCCAGGCAACCTCGCGACCTCGCGACCAGACCCTAAACCCTAAACCCTAAACCCTAAACCCTAAACCCTAAACCCTAAACCCTAAACCCTAAACCCTAAACCCTAAACCCTAAACCCTAAACCCCAAACCCCAAACTCCAAACCCCAAACCCTAAAGCCTAAAGCCTAAACTCTAACCTAAACATCAACTCCTAACCCCGAAGCTTTCTGAGCTTGAAGCCTTTGATCCGACATGCTCGACTGTTACCGCAAGCCCCCAAGCCCTACGGCCCGAAGCCTGAACCTTCCCTTCAGAGTTCAGGGTTGGGGTTTAGGGTTTAGGGTTTTGGGTTTGGGGTTTGGGGTTTAGGGTTTAGGGTTGGTTTGGGGTTTGGGGTTTGGGGTTTGGAGTTTGGGGTTTGGGGTTTGGGGTTTGGGATTTGGGGTTTGGGTTTAGGGTTTAGGGTTTAGGGTTTAGGGTTGAGCGGTAGAGGCCGAAAGCCTTGGTTCGTGGGAAGGGTTTAAGGCTCTAGGGTTCAAGGTTTCAGCATATGGACCCCATGAGCATCACATAGCTATGCTGACTCCTTATTGTAGGGTTGTTTGGGTTTAGGGTTTAGGGTTTAAGGTTTAGGGTGTATTTAGGGTTTAGGGTGTTTTTGGGTAGCCGCATGACCCCCCGAAGCCCTACGCCCCAGACCCCGCTGGAGGATGGGTAGCCGCCTCGACTGGATGGGGGGCGAATCCAGTTAACAAAAAGCCCTAAACTCCTAAACCCCTAAACCCTAAGCGCCTAAACCCCTAAACCATAAACCCTAAATCTTGATTTCTGGTGGCATGGTCAGAGACAGACACGTGTACTCGCCCAGGACGGTGCCAAAAAATGCTGAAAGCACTATGGGCTCCCCTATGCCCTAGCGTTCCCAGGATTCCGACGAGTCGGGTTCCGAGAAGTTCCTAGGGTTTCAGGGATTAGAGCTTAGGATTTTAAACCCGAAACCCTAAGCCCTAAGCCCTAAACCCTAAACCCTTGGGGTTCGGGGGGGGGTTTCCTGGGGTTCCTACTCGGGCTGCAAGGGTTCCTAAAGGATGCCCTAAGCCAGCACAAGGTTTAGGGTTTTAGGGTTTAGGGTTTCAATGTCCGACGTAGTTGGGGTCTGAGTCTCTGGTGGGGTTTAGAGACTCAGAATGAATTGGGTGGCACTTCGCATCCTAAGGCCCCTCAACCCTAAACCCTAGACCCTAGACCCTAAGCCCTAAGCCCTAAACCCTAAACCCCTAAGGGACCTTAAGGCCCTTCAAGGCCCGCAGGGCGGCAGGAGCCTGCTTCCAAAACGGCTTCAAAGAAGAGCCCTCACCGCTCCTGCGGCGTCCTGTCAATGCCTCGACGCGAAAAACTCAGGTGAAGAAAACGAAATGGGGGGTTTTAGGGTTTAGGGTTTAGGGTTTAGGGTCTGGGGTTTAGGGTTTAGGGTTTGCGGCTTAGGGCTGGTGGAATTCAATCGCGACAGTGCGGCTGCGTGAGTTGACTACCAGGGCGCTGTGCCCAGCCCTTTGAACCCCTTTAAACCCCATTCCAGTATCCTAAACCCTAAACCCCAATCCCTAAACCCTAAACCCTAAACCCTAAACCCTAAACCCTAAACCCTAAACCCTAAACCCTAAACCCTAAACCCTAAACCCTAAACCCTAAACCCTAAACCCTAAACCCTAAACCCTAAACCATGTCCTACTCAACCTGGAGATGCCTTGGTCGCCGCTTTGAGGTCTTTGCTTGCCCGGCTTCCTTGCCCGCAGGCATGTGATAAGATCGCTGCCGCCCCAACCTATTTTTGAAGCCGGTGGGGTTGCCAAGCACCGTGTAGTCTGTTGAGATGGTCCAGCTGGCATTGTTTGCGGGGTTGTGGGCGTTTAGGGGCTTGATTATTTTATTTGTTTTCAGGCTTTGATGGTCTAGGTTTTTTCGTGGTTTAGGGTGCTTGCTGCAGGGGTTTCGGGCTGACGGTTCGGGGGGTCCGGGCCTCTATCGCAAGCCCCGGCGACTTGTATGGGAGCTTTGACGGCATGTGGGGATGTACCTAAACCCTAAACCCTAAACCCTAAACCCTAAACCCTAAACCCTAAACCCTAAACCCTAAACCCTAAACCCTAAACCCTAAACCCTAAACCCTAAACCCTAAACCCCTAAACCCCTAAACACCTAAACCCTAAACCCTAAACCCTAAACCCTAAACCCTAAACCCTAAACCCTAAACCCTAAACCCTAAACCCTAAACCCTAAACCCTAAACCGCCAAAATTGGTCGGTTCCCGAATTTCGGGCCACGCAACCTTCATTTTTGGGGGGTTTGGGGTTTATGAGGTTTAGGGTTGAGGGGACAAGGACCATGACCCTAAACCCTGAGCCCTAAACACTAAACCCTAAACCCTAAACGTTTCGAAGGTGTTTGCCAAGAGAGGCCTTGGGATGACGGGGTCTACGAGGTTTACTTAGGGTTTAGGGTTTAGGGTTTAAGGTTTAGGATTTAGGGTTTAGGGTTTAGGGTTTAGGGCTTAGGGTTTAGGGTTTAGGGTTTAGGGTTTGCGGTCGCGTGTGCCCTGAGGCCAATGGGTTCGATTGGCGTTTCTGCTATTTGCTTAAGAACTCCCCAAAAACATAAGAATAGCAATCCATATTTTGCCCTTACAAGAGAGAGTGTTTTTCATTTTTTCCGTTTTGTGTGGTTCTTAAGCAATGAGTAGGCTTGGGGTTTCGGGTTTAGGGTTTCGGGTTTGGGGTCCAGGGTTTAGGTTTTGGGTTCGGGGTGTAGGGCCTGGGATCTAGGGTCTCCCAAGCATAAAGCCAAACGACTGCGTGGGCAACTCACGCCCCGAAAAGGACAAAAACCCTAAACCCTAAACCCTAAACCCTAAACCCGAAACCCTAAAGACCCGAGGTTGCCGTATAGGTTGCGACAATTCAGCATGAAAAAATGCAGAAATTGAAGTTCAGGTCCTTCTGCGGAGTGCCCCAAGCCCCTCAACCCTCATCCCAAAACCCTAGGGCGTCAAGTCACCAAAGCTTTACCGCATCCCTTCTTGCAGAACTTCCAGCACCCTGATTAAAGCCTCTTAAGCCCTAGAACCATGCCCTAAACCCTAAACCCTAAACCCTAAAACCGTAAAACCCTAAAACCCACAAGGACCCTTCACAAAAACTCTCCAAGCCCGACAATTTGTGAGCCAGATCTAACATTTTGAACGACCTTAAGCCACCACACAAGCTCAGCCGAGCCCTAAACCCTTGAAAGCCACCCAAAAGCCAAAACTTGCTGTGAACCCTAAACCCTAGACCCTAGACCCTAGACCCTAGACCCTAGACCCTAGACCCTAGACCCTAGACCCTAGACCCTAAACCCTAAACCCTAAACCCTAAACCCTAAACCCTAAACCCTAAACTCATAGGCGGAGAGTGGAGCACCCCCGGCCTGAAACCGAAACCTAAGCCCCAGGGGACAAGCCCCAAGCCCCAAACCCTGAAAAATAAGAGGGTTTGGGGTTTAGGGTTCAGGGTTTAGGGTTATCGGAAGCCCGAACTAAGCCTTGTAGACCCTAAGCCCCAAAGCCCCGCCAGGCGGTTGTTTCGGATCCTCGGTACCCTCGTGAGCTGCGAGAAATGAGGTGGACTAGGGCTTAGGGTTGAAGGGTTTAGGGTTTAGGGTGTGGGGTTTAGAGTTTGGGGTTTTTGGGGTCCGAGCCTCTAAAGGTTAAGCTTTAGCTGAAAACCCTGAACCGCCCGAAATCCGGCTGGGTTTGAGGCTCCGTGTGGCTCTTTGGGCTTTGGGTTTTGGCACGCATCGGGGTCCTGAAAACAGCCCTGACTGGACTGTATATTCTAGGCCCGGCGAGCCCTTTTAGGGTTGAGGGTTTAAGTTAGGGTTTCGGGTTTAGGGTTTAGGGCTAGGGTTTAGGGTGAAGGGTTCAGGGCTTAGTGTTTCCTGTAATAGGGCGTAGATGCTGTGAAGGTTAGGATGCAGCAGAGGCTCCAAAACCTCGTCAGGCGCGAAGAGCAGATCTGGCCCGATTGTGGGGGGCCATCTTTTTCTTTTCTCCCACCCCACGCCGTCCGAGGCGGCAAAACCACCCAAACCTATTCCTTTTAGGGTTTAGGCCGAACCTCATGACAATCGCTTACTTCCCGTCACCAGGTCCCGCCTCCGTCGTTTGTATCGTCGCAGAAGGTGTCGGGGGGTCCCAGAAGGTCCCGGGTGCCAGTAAGTTCAACCAGAGGGGGTCGCAGGGGGGTCCCAGGGGTCCTAGGGCCAGGGGTCCGGGACCCCCCTGGACTGGGCGGCTCCAGGCTCCGAGGTGTGGGAGGCGGGCGAACGAGCTGGGTCCACTGGCTTAGGCGCCGCCCCGCAACTGTAGGGGGGCGGCTTAGGCCTGGAGTTTAGGGGCTAGGGTTCAGGGCTTTAGGGTTTAGGGTTTAGGGTTTCGGGTTTCGGGTTTAGGGTTTAGGGTTTAGGAAGCTAAACGCCTTCGTGGCACAGCAGGCGCTGATCGAGTTACGTTTAGATCGCGTGCACGCAAAACCCTAAACCCTGAATCTAAACCCTAAACTCTAAACCCTAAAACTGATACGGGCATTTCTGGAAAAAAGGGGTAGTATAGGGGTCGGAATACATGATTAATAGTATTCCCTTAGGGCCCCTACATAATTTTACTATAATAACCCCCAAAACCTTATTTTTAGTATTAAGGCCCCTGTAGTACCCTAAACCCTAAGCCCAAAATATGGGTGCCCCTGTTTTGTACCGCGCATAGCATAGAACCCCCTTGAAGGGACCCCCCCCCCCCACCAAAAAGGGTACCCCCCCCCCCACCAAAACAAAAAGGCACCCCCTATTTTCGGAAACACCCTATCAAACCCAAGCCCTAAGTTATTAAACCCGAAACCGTAATACTTTAAAACATCCTAAACCATCCTAAACCCTAACCCCTGACCCCTAAACCCTAAACCTTAAACGCTAAACCCTAAACCCTAAACCCTAAACCCTACGTAGCCCACAAAGCCCTCAAAATCTGAGCCGCTCAGGCCTGAGGAGCTGGGCGGGAAGACGTCAAAGTACACGCCCGGTGCCTGGTTGGTTTCTAGGACGCAGAGCAGGTTTAGGGTTTAGGGTTTAGGGTTTAGGGCTTAGGGCTTAGGGTTTAGGGTTTAGGGTTTAGGGTTTAGGGCTAGGACGCAGAGTAGGCCTTTTTCACTTTTTCAGGCTTTGGGTTCCCGTCTAATTAAGCCACTTCAAGACCATAAGGGTTATGTTTTTGCTTCCTAGGTTTCTCTTGGGTCGAGGTTTGGCATCAGGGCTCAGCAATGCAACATCTGAAGCTCTTAGCCTGAGCCCGGCACCCCCCCACAAAATCACATCTCCATTTTCTGACTTCGGGGACTATTGATATTTGGGGGTTGAGGGGTTTGGGGCCAGAGTTTGGGGATTTTGGAGCTCAAGATGCTCAAGATGCCCAGAGCCTAGCAGGTTTCAAGGGATTAAGGCTCGTACCCTTAAGGGTGTGCCCCGAAGAGGTTCCCTTAATATAGGGGTTTCCGAATCTAAGGGTACCCTTTTCCGGCGTAGGGGACCGGGGCCTTGGAGTGAGCGCTCCAAGCGCCTAGGGTTTAGGGTTTAGGGTTTAGGGGCTGCGGCCCTAAAAGCTCCTATATGCAGCATCGAAGATTCCTGCAATACGGGCTCGAAGATTTTGGGGCATGTAAGGGGGTCCCATTTTTGGCAAGTGCCCATGTCGTGCTGCAATGCTAGTTTCCGGTACCCTTTTTGGGGGTCCCCTTCAGGGGATTCTATCCTATTTGGGGCATAAAAAAGGGTACCCCCTATGTTGGGAAGCAGCCATCTCCTCCCAATTTGGCGCTTATATTTCCTCAAAGTGTCGTTAACAGGGGCCCCCAAACCCAAGGGTACAACCTTAGGGGTCCAAGCTAGCAAGCTCTGACAGGTGCAGCAGGCGGAAGCGCGCTCTTTTTGTTAGGGTTTAGGGTTTAGGGTTTGGGGTTTAGGGTTTAGGGTTTACTCGTTGACGAAGCCCCTAGGAACTCCCAGAGCCACTGAGCACCTGCTGAACGCCAAAGTTTCCCGGAACTTGCGAAAGCCCCCAAGCTTAATGGTTCTGAGCGCCCAAAAATAGATCTCTTGAAGGGCGATATGGAGGTTTCCGGTAATCGGGGTAGGGTTCCTTTAATAAGGAGTCTACTATCTTGGAGGTATGTTAAGGGCACCCCTATTTGGGGAAATGCCCAGCTGGAATCCTAGTTATCTTTCAGAACAGGTATGCACAAGATCAACCCACCTCTTGATGCCTCACTTCCAAGGTGGACTCAGACTAATTGGGATATTCGATGCCGTGTGCCTCTCGATCCCGCCACTCCCTCAGAGGGAGTCTCCCTGCACTGACCCCTCATCTGTAGAGGGGTCGGAATAGTTACCAGTTGTACTCCCTTATGGTTCCTATATACATATAGTTATACCATAATAAACCCCCCAAAAGCCTCTTCTAAGTGTTAAGCCCCCTATATTAGGGTTTAAGGTTTGGCTTGTGGGGCTTAGACGGAAGTTTCAGGCTTCAGGAGGCTCACCGACAAGTACAGCTGCAAGCGCAGCTTCAGAGAGTCGGGGCTCGAGAGCTAAGGCTTTTCAAGAGTATCGAAGCCCTATCACCCCACGACCCTGTAACCCTGCAACCCTAAACTCTTAGCCTGGCATCCCTACAACCCTACACCCGAAACCCTAAACCCTAAACTCTTAACCCTACATCCACCATCCAACCGCCATTCCGCCATCCAACCCCCCCTAAAACCCTAGAACCCAAAACCTTAAACCCTGAACCCTAAACCCTAAACCCTAAACCCTAGACCCTAAACCCTAAACCGCTCTAAACCCCAAACCCTAAACCTCAAAACCTGAACCCTACATCCCGAAGCCCTAAACCCTCAACTTTGAAAGCCGGGGGGGGGGGGGAGGGGGGGGGAAACCCCAAAGCCTAAACCCCGAGCCCTTGAGGGGCTTAGGGTTCTAGGGCTGAGGATCCTTGGGTTTAGGGTTTAGGGTTTAGGGTTTATGGTTTAGGGTTTAGGGTTGAGGGTTTAATTAGGGTTTAGGGTTTAGGGTTTAGGGCTTAGGGTTTAGGGTTCAAGAACCCTTAACCCTGAAGCCATGAACCCCCTAAAGCCCTAAACTCGTAAAGTTTGAGGGCTTAGGGTTTAAGGCCCTCAACCCGCTTAGGCCCCAACGCCCGAAAGCCGAAACCCTGAACCCTGAACCCTAAACCCTGAACCCTGAACCCTAAAGCCTACACCTAACCCTATGCAAGGAGACGATGAAGACCGACATCAAGTGCATCATTCAGTCCAGTCCTCAGCAGTGGCTTGGTGTTTCGGATTTAGGGTTTAGGGTCTAGGGTTTAGGGTTTAGGGTTCATAAACCCCAAAGGTCCCCAATGCCAGACGCTGAAGCCCGGTGGCCAGATGGCTGTCTGATTTGAAGCCTACCTGCCGACGTGTGTTGTTGGGCCCTGCTCCTAGACCCTCCACTTAGTTCAGGAGTAGGGGTTTAGAGTTTAGGGTTTAGGGTTTAGGGTTTAGGGTTTAGGGTTTAGGGTTTAGGGTTTAATGTTTAGGGTTTAAGGTTTAGGGTTTAGGGTTTGAGGGGAGCTACCAATGTTTCCGAGGCGGGGGCATCTCAGCCTCTTTGTCTTCGGGGAGGCGGGGACATCTCTTCATGTGTGTGGTGGCTGTGCGTAAATAGTATACGAGGCTTAATAATTAGAATAGGGTTTTGGGGGTTGTTATGGTATAGTTATAAACGGACCCTAAGGGAGTACTGCTAGTACTTCTTCCGACCCTTAGATTACCCATGTTATCCACAAGATGCCGGCGTAGACCCCGGTCAGTTCCAGTGGGTCCCTAAACCCTAAACCCTAAACCCTAAACCCTAAACCCTAAACCCTAAACCCTAAACCCTAAACCCTAAACCCTAAACCCTGAACCAAGTCTTCGCGACGCGGCGCAAGCCTCCAAAAGTGCGAAGGCGAGGCGGAAACGCATTTTCGTGCACGGGGGCCGCACGGGAGCCTCAGGCGAGAGTGCGATTTGGAGCCTGCCAGGATGCGAAAACCCTAAATCTCTAAACCCTCAACCCTCAGAAGCCCTAAGCCCTAAGAGCTAAACCCTAAACCCTAAACCCTAAACCCGAAACCCTAAACCCCGTCTGCGATGTTTCAACCCTAACCCACCCTTGGGAGCCCTGCTCCTTGTGCAGAAGGACGGGCCTTGAAGGCTTTGCACAACTTTCCCAGCAAAGCAGGACTCTAAGCCCCCCCCCCTCGTTAAATCCTAAACCCGAACGACGGGCCTAAACCCTAAACCCGAATTTAAAGCCTAAACCCTAACCCACAAGCCTAAACCCTAAACCCTCAACCCTAAAGCCAAAACCCTCAACCCTCAACCCTCAACCCGCAACCCTCAACCCTCAACCCTAAACCCTAAAGCCTAACCCTAAATCCTCAGCCCTAAACCGTCCAGCCGGGAGGATAAGACTTGCCCAAGTAGCTACGGGTGTGGGGTACCAAGACATGGCAAAGATGACTGCCCCACTGCTTGGCAGCCTCCGGGCTGGTGGGTTTAGGGTTTAGGGTTTAGGGTTTAGGGTTTAGGGCTTAGGGTTTTGGGTTTAAGGTGTAGGCCAGCCACCCTAAAGACCCGAAGCCTGAGTCTGCGCCCGAAGCCCTCAAAATGTTTGGCCCTAACCTCAAACTTGAGACCCCAAACCCCTCAAACCAGTGAGAAGCATTGAGAGGTGGAACAGGGTTTAGGCGGCTTCTTGAGATTTAGGGTTTTAGATTCTCGAGCTAGTTTCGGGGTTTTTGAGCTTTAGGGCCTTTGGGGTTTTGAGGTCTCACTTGCTCTACTAACTGCCTAAATGTGGGCACCGGCATAGGCGAGTCATCCCGATGGTCCTAGTGTAAGGATGTGCGAGGGCAGCTTGTTTCGAACACTTCTGGCGGCCTCCCCCAAAGCCCACAGGAACATTCCTGCCCCTTCCCCTTGGCGCCGCGTGAGGCGATCCTGAATGGGCCGCTGTGCGATAAAGTCGACACGGAGGCACCGCTTTTGGCCTTAAACCTTAAACCCTCACAAAGCGATTTGGGGGTCTAGGAAATTGCGGGTACCCCGTTTATACCCCAAATAGGAAAGAAGCCCCCTTAAAGGGACCCCCAGAAAGGGTACCCCTATTGTCGGAAACCCCCATTTAGGCTGGAGTCCCTGAAGCCTTGCAAGAGCCTCGGTAGAGGGTTTACGCTGCCAGGCTTCCTAAATCCTAAACCCTAAACCCTAAACCCTAAACCCTAAACCCTAAACCCCAAGAAGCCGAGGGGTGCACCTTGGCAACGCGCGAGAAGCCACGGGCGGCTGGGAAAGTGTAGAGCAACGATGGAACTTTGGCCATCCTCCACGATGACTCTTGTCTAGGGTTTAGGGTTTAGGGTTTAGGGTTCAGGGTTTAGGGTTTAGGGTTTAGGGTTTAGGTTTGTCCGCGACTGTGACAGATGAGGGCAGGATCGGCTGAAGAACTTGCCCATGCGGTGAAGCCTTGCGTGTTGTATGTTGGGATGTTCCCCCTTACACGAACAGCCCTTAGAAAGGGATTGTAGTGCTGTACCCCCCCCCATTGTACTCCCTATTAAGGTCTCTTAGTATTAGGGGAACATTTCCATGGAAGCCCCAATCAGGGAAGAAAGTAGGAACAGAACAGGAAAAATCCATTACCAGGGTCCTTATGTTCCCTTGATCTTCCTACTACTTACTCAGGGTTCCCGTTTTTCGAGTTCCCATTGAACTTATGTTCCCTAAAACGTCCTACTGCTTACTTGGGGTTCCCTGTTTCGGGTTCCCATTAAGTCCCTTTAATTGGGGTTTAGGGCTTAGGATTTCGGGTTTAGGGTTTAGGGTTTGGGGTTTAGGGTTTAGGATTTAGAGTTTAGGGTGTAGGGCTCATAAAGACAAGGCCCAACATGCCCCAAGCCCGGCAGTCCGAGCGGTAGTCCTCAACCCCTAAGCCCTAAGCCCTAAACCCCAAGCCCGAAACCCCTAAACCCGAAACCCTAGCCCGAAACCCTAAACCCCAAACCCTAAACCCCAAGCCTTAAAATTTAAACCCTAAACCCTAAACCCTAAACCCTAAACCCTAAACCCTAAACCCTAAACTCCATGAAGCTATGCTTTTCACCTGGCTCCTGCTTCCCCAGAGGTCTGTAAGCCCCGAACCCGACGCCCAAACCCTAGAAGCGCTAAAGCCCCAAAGCCGGTTTAGGGTTTAGGGTTTAGGGTTTAGGGCTTAGGGTTTAGGGTTTAGGGTTGAGGGTTTAGGGCTTAGGGTTTAGGGTTTGGGGTTTGGGGTTTAGGCCCCAAACCCTACAACCCCACACCCGAAACGCCAGCGAGACGACCCAGCGTCAAAGTGTCAAACACGGCCCCAACACCTATCACCACTAATTACACCCTAAACCCTAGATCCCTTTAGACCCTGCAAGCCCTACAGACCCAAAGCCCCAAAAACTGAACCCCAAATCCCCAAGCCCAAGCCCCAAGCCCCAAACCCCAAACCCCCAAGTCCAAGCCCAACCCCCAAACCCCAAACCCCAGACCCTAAGCTCTAAGCCCCAAACTCCAAACTCCAAACTCCAAACTCCAAACTCCAAACAGCCCTAAACAACGAAGCCCAAGCTAGAGGAGTCCGCCTGGACTTTGGAGCGAGTTGGCAAGGAGGTTCCCCCGAGGCCGCCTGCGCCACATTTTAGGGTGCAGGGTCTAGGGGGTTTAGGGTTTAGGGTTTAGGGTTCGGGGTTTAGGGTTCAGATTTTAGGGTTTAGGGTTTAGCTTGTAGGGTGCAGGGTTTAGGGTTTAGGGTTAGGGGCTTACGTCCTAGGGTTTAGTGTCTAGGCGGATGTGGGATGGCACTAATCTGTTCCCGCTTCTGTTCTAGGGATGGAGCACAGCTCGTTGAGGGCGTCGGGTAGGGTTCTGGGTGCAGGGTTTTGGGTTTTAGGGTTTAGGGTTCAGGGTTCATTTAGGGTGTAGGATTCTTTACAAGCTTGTGGGTGTACAGGCTCGGTTTAGGGCATTTGGGAGCCCCCTAAACCCCGAAGCCTAAACCCTAGACCCTAAACCCTAGCCCTAAACCCCAAGTCCTAAACCCGAAACCCTAAACCTAGACCAAACGCTATATCGCCCAGAACTTGCAGAAGGGGTCTCCGAGTTCCCGCTGGCGGCGCTCCGTTGTCTGGGGTGTTTCTGAACCAGGCTTTAGGGTGTAGGTCTAGGGCTTCAAGCAGAGACCGTTTTTTTAGCATTGCGATTCAAGCACCCGGACATTTCAAGCACTGCCGATTCCCGCCCGCGCGATTCAAGCACAATTTCTGGTTCAAGCGCTAAAAAACTCTATGTCTTCGCATGCTTCTGCAAATTGAAACCGGGCAAGCCTCTTTCCGTCAATTGAGGGCCGGCAACGCCCACAGCCGGCTGGTGCATCCAACATGTTAGGGTTTAGGGTTTAGGGTTTAGGGTTTAGGGTTTAAGGTTTAGGGTTTAGGGTTTGGGGTTTAGGGTGTAGGGTGGCGAGACTTCGCGACGAGGATGTCTTGGCAAAGCCACGGGCCAAAGGCGAGGACAGAGCAGACCGCCGCCCCGCGGATAAGGCAAGGCGCACCTCAGGGGGAGCCCGACGCAAGCATGCATATGCTGTTATATATTGCGTCTTAATATCCTACAACCTGTTTCTATTCAGTTTGTATGTATGTATGTATGTATGTATGTATGTATGTATGTATGTATGTATGCATGTATGTATGTATGCATGTATGTATGTATAGTATGTATAGTATATTTATATCTCTGAACTGTTTACATATATATATATATATGGATATATTTCTACCCGGACCCCTGGCCCCGGGGGAGGATCCCCGTAAGGGTTCCTAAGTATGACCCACTAGTAGTGTGAAGTGCTGTTTGGGGGCTCTACTTTTTGGATCCTCCCAGGGGTCTGGGTATATACCCTAAACCCAAAACCCTAAGCCCTAAGCCCTAAGCCCTAAACCCTCAACCCTAAACCCTAAACCCTAAACCCTTCTATTTGTTTGACCATTTGAATGCCTAGCCAGGCTGGAGGTCAACATCATGCTGAAGAAGGCCCAGGGTGGGGTACCAGGATGGGGCTGTTCGGAGCTGGGTTTAGGGTTTAGGGTTTAGGGTTTAGGGGTTAGGGTTTTGGGTTTAGGGTTTAGGGTTTTTGGGATTTTGGGTTTTGGGTTTAGGGTTACATGACAGGAAAGCGTACTTACACAACACGTGGCATCACTGCAACCCCTTTTACCTCCGAGCTTCCCATGCGAAGGAGCAACCCAGGACTCGTTTGTTTCAGTGAACCTTACACCCCTAAACCTGAAACCCGCTTGGCATCCCAGTGGTACCCTTTACACTTTTTTTGGGTTCTGGGTTCCCTTATAAAGTAACCAACCAAAGAAGGGTGCCCTTATTATAATATGGTTACTGGGCTACTACAGTAAGCCCAAAACCCCAAACCCCAAACCCCAAACCTGAAACGAAACCCTAAACCCTGAACCCTGAACCCTGAGCCCTGAATGCAAGAAGCCCAGAAAGCTGGGAAGCGTGTGGATCATCGAACCCCCTGAAACCCTTAAACCCTAGAAGCCCTTTGAACTAAGCCCGGATAGCCCCTCAACCCGAAACCCGAAACCCTAAACCCTTGAACCCCTCACTCTTTGTTCGACACCAGCTCCTCGAGCACCTGGCGCCCTCCATCGAAAGGCCCTCCATTTTGACGGATGGGTGGAGAAGATCGTTAGAACCTGGTCGCGTGAGACAGCGTATGACCAGTATTGTCACTCTGCAGCCACTTGCTCACTTCAGGTTTACGGTTTAGGGTTGTGTAACTTAAGGGTAGTTATATGGGCCCTTAATGTGATCCCTTACCTCCTTTAAAGGGTTCTGAAGTATGGGCCCTTGGGTTTGATAGGGCATATAAGGGGTATATAAGGGGTCCCCTTCTGAGGGCCCAGACTAAGGGGTCATGTACCTACCCTAAGGGTTAAGAGCTTAGTGGTGCGTCGTGGAGCAGGCGAATCGCTCGGGTGGGATTGGCTTCCGGGAGTTCCTGCCGGATGTTTTTCTCGCCATGCAGCTTTTGCACTGTATCGCCGTGCCCTGTGGCGGTGTTGACGTGCACTTCTTCATGGCGCTCTTCGTCTTCAACCGTTCTTCTTCAACTTTTGGTGGGTCGTGGCACGTTTCTCGTCGCTGTAGCGCCTACCGTTTGCCCCGGTCATCACCCCGCCTTGCCATTGTGTGGCGTAGGTTCCGCCGCAGCGGAGAACGTCCTCATGCCCAGTGTTGCCCATCAACATCATCAACGTGGTGCATCCGGACGTGCTGTACCGCCGTTCGGCCAGTTGCCCACCCGTTCCTTGCAGGCCGGCGTGCAGGCGATCACCCGAAGCTTGTGTCCTGCAGGTTGCTGTCCTGCTTTTGATGCCAGGATTTTGGGCTTCTACAGGTCCACGCTGCCGCGCTTCTTCTACTCGGGTTTCGGCAATGTCTGCGACCCTCGGAGCCCCTCCAGCTACCTTGCTTGTGCTTGCGCTTTTGCTCCACATTCCGCTGTTCGGTACCGCCACTGGAGTGAATTTTGTGATGCGGGTTTCGGGTTTAAGGTTTACCCTAAACCCTAAACCCTAAACCCTAAACCCTAAACCCTAAACCCTAAACCCTAAACCCTAAACCCTAGGGTCTGCTGTTTTAATATATTCGCCTTCCGGTTGCTCTTTCGCTTCCATGGCGATCTGCTGCTTGGGAGCTGGAGGGCGCGCCCGCGTTTTATGGTTCGAGGGAAGCTTGCTGACCCTGCAAAAGGGCCCAAAGGATTTAGGGTTTAGGGTTTAGGGTTTAGTGTTTAGGGGTTAGGGTAAACCCTAAAACCCTAAAGCTTGAAGGTTTTTCGGTCTTCTCAACGTTTGGCAAGGGTTGGGGGCCCACGCGCAAAACTTAACAACTGTCTCTAAACCATCCCTAACCACAAAAACCCAAAACCCAAAACCCAGCGTCTCCAGGTTCAAGAAACGCAAGGCCGAAACCACTGGAACTGCATCGCGCGAGCCCCGGCGAGGGTTTTGAAGATTTGCAGTTTTTGTCTCTCTACAGGGCTTATAAGTTGTTTTAGAGCTTTGGGGGGCTTGTAGGTCTTGCAAGCACCGAAGGTTTGAGTGGCTCGTACGATTCACCTGGTGACAGCACGAGAGACGATCAAAAGATAGCAGTTGGAAGACAGGATCGTTAGAACCTGGTCGCATGAGACAGCGTATGACCAGTATTGCCACTCTGCAGCCACTTGCTCACTTCAGGTTTAGGGTTTAGGGTTATATAACTTAAGGGTAGTTATATTTCGAGGGCCCATACTAAGGGACCATGGAACTACCCCAAGGGTTAAGAGTTTAGGGTTCAGAGCTTAGGGGGGCAAGCAGAATTTTGGCTTCAAGGAGCGGGCGTTTAGGGTTGCAGGGGTTCAGGGTTTAGGGTTTAGGGTTTAGGGTTTAGGGTTTAGGGTTTAGGGTTTAGGGTTTAGGGTTTAGGGTTTGGTCGCTCAGAAGCATGGTCGGCCCTATGGAGTCGCTAGTTTCGGGTTAGACCGGTTCAGGGCACCTTTGGGTCTAAGCTCAAACCAACGAAAAGCCTGAGAACCCCCCAAAACCCGAAGCCCTTGACCGCAGCCTTGTCATAGCAACCCCCCAACCCTCAACCCTAAAACGCTGAGCCCGAAAACCCTGAACCCTTGCAAACCCTAAAACCCTGAACCCTTGCAAACCCTAAAGCCCTGAACCCTTGTAAACCCTAAAACCCTAAACCCAGGCAAACCCCAAAACCCTGAACTGTGCGAGCTTAAACCCTAAACCCTAAACGCTAAACCCTAGACCGCAATCCCCGGAAGCCTCCTAAGCACGTGAGGTGCATGGCGAGCCGACCATTGATGTCGACCGTCTTGGCCCGCCCATCAAGGTTCCTGAGTCTACCAATTGCTTAAGAACCCCCCCCCCCCCCCAAAACAAAAAGAGGAAAGATTCTTCCTCATGAGGGTAGTATAAGGATTATTGTTATATATATATATATATATATACTTTTTTTTGGGGGGGGGGGGGGTTCTTAAGGAAATAGTAGGAGTGGGAGTGGAGGGACTGCGGGGGTTCAGGGGTTAAGGCGTTGGGTTTTTTGGGGGTTTAGGGTTTGAGGGTTTGAGTTGTTTAGCGTTGAGGGCTCAGGGCTTAGGGGTTTGGAGGTTTCCGGTTTCGAGGTTTAGGGTTTAGGGTTTAGGGTTTAGGGTTTAGGGGGGGGGGGGTTCGGGGTTTTGTGACACAGGGATGCCTCGGGTCTAGGGGTGTGAAGCAGCTAGGTTAGGTCCCGGAGTTGCGAGTTAGGGGTTAGGGCTGAGGGTTTCATTGGTGCTCTGCGACTTTAGGGTTCCGGGCTTGGGGTTTAGGGGTTTCAGGGGGGTTCGCAGGGTTCAGGGGCTTTTGGAAATACTGGTTGGTTCTGCAGTGCCAGCGCATGGACGCTTGAAGAGCTTTGGGACGCTTCGGAAGCAGAGCCAGATGTGGGTAACATGATAAACCCTAAACTGGCCCTAAACCCTAAGCCCTAAGCCCGAAGCCCTAAACCTTAAACCCAAGTTTGTCATCTCCCTGTCTCTCATTCTCTCTTTCTCAACCTGGTGTTGCCCGCAGTGGGCCTGAAAGGTGGTCTGGATGTTGTTGCCAATGCCTCCACTGCTCAGGTACGGAGACTTGTGGTTTGGGACTATGAGCTTTGTTGACTATGGGAGTTCACGAAAATAAGGTTCCCCCTATAATAGACCCCCCCCCAAATAGTAGGATTCCCTTTTATAGTAAGGACACCAATCAGGTACCCCTAATCTCAGAAACCCCATATATCGGGGTTGAGACTAGGCCTAGCGGCCTACTCATGCTGAAACCACCCTAAACCCTAAACCCTAAACTCTATACCCTAAACCCTAAAGCCTAAAAACCCTAAAAGGCCTAAACCCTAAACCCTAGACCCTAGACCCTAAACCCTACCATGAGGCTTTGTCTGCTTGTTGGGGCTTTTTTTCGAGGCATCCATGACTCTGAGGCTTGTAGTCATGAGAGACCCCGAATAGTTTAGGGTTTAGGGTATAGGGTTTAGGGTTTAGGAATTCGGGTTTAGGGTTTTAGGGTTTAGGGTTTAGGGTTTGGGTCCCTTTGAAGCACTGCTTGTTCGGTTCTAGAAAGGCTAGGACCCAGAGTAGGCCCTTGTTCCCCGCCTTTTTTTAGGGGTTTAGGTTCCCTTATAACCCCTGTCTGTACCAACAAGGGCGCCTCTTTCCTAGGTTGCTCACGGTTTAGGGTTTAGGGTTTAGGGTTTAGGGTTTAGGGTTTAGGGTTTAGGGTTTTGAAAGGTGATGCACCCACTTGACCTGGATGCCCTGGCGCAGTTGAAAAGCTGCAGCGAGAACAAGGCCTGGCACCTTTGAATCCTAAGTCTGAGCCGTTGCAGATGGCTTCCCCCCTCTATACTACCCGTTCTGGGTTCCCCCCCTTAAGAAACCTTAATGAGGCTTAATGTTCCCTAAAGAGCCTGAAGTATGGGGGCAACCTAGGGGGGGGGGGTAGTACAGAGGGAGTAGGGGAACCCATGAATACACCAACAAGTATTTGATAGCTTTCAGGTTCCTTTGTAAATTAACCAACCCAAATAAGGGTACCCTTATTATAATATGGTTACTGGGCTACAATGAGTAAGCATGTTTTGAAGACTTCTTGAACCACTGCAAGTATTTCTGCTTGGAGGTTCTTATTGCTTGGAGGTTCTTATTTCTGTCTTTTGCTCTCCCCCCCCCTTCCTCCCCCTTCCCCCTTCCCCCCCGCCCCTCCACCCACCCCCCACCCACCCCCCTCCCAAACCCCACGCCCTAAACCCAAAACACAAACCCAAACTCCAGTGGGTTCGTCAACGACCCTCGGCCCTTGGGGAGCACAGAGCCCTAGCCCTAGACCCCCATAAAGGGCCAAAGGTCAGATGGTGGTTTCTCTAAATTAGGGTCCCTTTTGGGGTCCTCAATATGAGGCGACCCCTCTTATTTAGGCTACCCAGAAAGGGATGAGGTCTTGAGTTGTCTGAGTCCTAGAAGCCTCTTAGGGGATGGGACGTTAACCTTTTTGAGCACACCTATGTCAACAGGTTAACCTTTTATGGGCTAGGGTATTCAGCCCCCTGAGACTTTAAGGTGACTGAGCCTTAAGGTGCCCTTAGAGATTCCAAAGCTTCACGCCCTGTCAGGAGCTCCCATTCTTCAACATGAGAGACCCTCGCGCCAAGCCGGGCATGTGAGAAAAGCGCCGAGCTCAACGAGACCCTGCCGCAAAAAGGAATGCGAGAAAGGACGCGCCGAGGGGACTCGGACGCCCGAGGCGGCTCGGAGACTCGGGCAGCCTTCCTTGCTCTTAGGGCTGAGGGCTGAGGGCTGAGGGCTTAGGGTTTAGGGTTTAGGGTTTAGGGTTGCGGGTTTAGAGCCCTCAAGCCCCTGGGTTTTTTTGCAGCAAGGCCTTGGGTTATGAAGGTCCGACCGAGAAGCCCCTCGAAGCCAGTTTCTGTCTCGTGCCAGCCCCAATAGCTTGATACGGGTTTAGGGTTAGTGGTGTAGGGTTTAGGGTTTAGGGTTTAGGGTTTAGGGTTTAGGGTTTGGGGTTTGGGGTTTGGGGTTTAGGGTTTAGGGATCCCTTTAGGGGTAATCTTGGTAGCCCAGTGGCGGGGCCCTTTTGCCGTTTCTGGACTCTCTCTTCGCTTAGAAACAGGCTCCAATCCCCCCCCCCCCCCCGTCCACCGCCAACAAAATAGCCCCTCAGTATAATATGGCCACGGCGCCAGGAAACAATGCAGGGACCGACATGGTTCAAACCGCCGGGTGTTGGGTAGTCTTTTGTAATTGCACAGGGGCCATGCGAGGACGATATTGGCATTGAATATTTAGCTTCCAGCGCCCACAAGAAGCTGAGACCGGTGTTAAGACAAGCCTAGGCCCTAGCCCTAAACTCGAACTCCCCTAAACCCCAAACCCTCATTGTGGGCTTCTTGGTCGACCTTTTGGGATTCCTACTGGATGCCTTGCTCATCTTAACAATGCTGAGCGAGGGAAGCATTGACCCCAGCAGCTCTAATTAGCTGTTGGGCAACTCAATGTCGGTTTAGGGTTTAGGGTGCGTACAGTTGCCCCTCCGATCTGGTTTGCTTCTGGCTGTGTTCAACCCGAAACCCTGAACCCAATTCTAAGCCCTAAACCCCAAACCCTAAACTCTGAACCCTGAAGCCTAATTAAACCCTAAACCCCCTAAACCCCCTAAACCCTGAACCAATTCTTCGAAACACAACGCAGCCCAAAGCCGGAGACTCGTTTTAGCCGGGTATGCGTTCCTGTCCCGGGACCCAGAGTGAGCCGGGTTTCGGGTTTAGGGTTTAGGGTTTAGGGTTTAGGCTAGGTTTCTAGGGCTTTAGCATTCTGAAGGCCCGTCTTCCCTTTTCTTATCAGTGTTCCCCGCTAAACACACCCTTTATAAAACCCATGAAGAAGAAGGGGGTTTACGTGCCCTTCAAGCCCTAAACCCTAAACAAGAAAGGGTACCAAACCCTAAGCCCTAAGCCCTAAACCCTAAACCCTAAACCCTCAGCCCTATACCGTCTTCAGTCCTCCTCTATAGTCCTAGGCCTCTCTGGGATCCAGGGCTGCACAATCGACGGAGCCCTCCTGATTTTCGGAGTGGGTTCGGCGGACCGTCGTCAGTGAACTATCAGCTTTGCATGTCGGGCTTACTTGTGACTCCCAAACCCTAGAGATCAGCAGGTTCTAGCCCCCTAGATATCGGGTATCACCCGCACCATGGTAGGTAAATGGAGCCCCAGGCAGGGTTTCCTTGAACAATTACCCCCCTAAACCCTAAACCCTAAACCCTAAACCCTAAACCCTAAACCCTAAACCCTAAACCCTAAACCCTAAACCCTAAACCCTAAACCCCCATAAGCCAAGCCCATACACCAAGTGAGAGGAGTGCTCTTGGTTGCCCAGCGGGTAACCCTTGTACAACTTTCTTGGTTCATGGTTCCCTTCAAAAGTCACCCCTGGTTTAGGGTTTAGGGTTTAGGGTTTAGGGTTTAGGAATCAAAAGGTACCCTTGTTGCAAGATTCTAGACCCCTAAGCCCTAAACCCTATTTATTGGGCTACCAAGTGCTACTTCTAATTCTGAAGCTGTGCATCTTCCATTGGCCTGGAGCCAGAGCCTCGTTTGCAAATGGCATGACGATGTGACGGGCAAATCCCGTTGCGCAAGGATCTGCGAGTTGCGGAGTTGTGTTAGGGTTTAGGAATGAGGGATTAGGGTTTAGGTTTTAGGGTTAGGGTTTAGGGTTTAGGGCTCAGGGTGTTTGGGCTTGTAAGGCTTCATGTGTTTACTATGTCTTCACCTTCAGAGTGGCCTGCCAAGACACATACACTTTGGGACCTTCCCTCTTATACTAACTGTCCTTAATAGGGATTCTAGTATCCCCTGTTACTTTGTTACAATCCCTATTAAGGACGGTTAGTAGAAGGGCGAACATCCCAACATAGACCTCGTGGCGGTCGAGCGATGCTGGAAAACGCGGGCTGCCGACGCTTCACGGGCCCAGGGGGAGACGACCGGTGGAACTACAGCTCCTCTGGGACCCAGAGCAGGGCCCCTATTCTCTGGTCTAGGGGTTTAGGGTTTAGGGCTAGGACCCAGAGCAGGTCCTCATTCCCTGTTTTTAGGGTTTACGTTCCTTTAAAAACCCATTAAAGCCAAAAGGGTGCCCTTTTTACCCACACACACACACACGCACACCACACACGCAACACACACACTCACGCACACACAGACACAGACACAGACACAGACACAGACACAGACACAGACACAGACACAGACACAGACACAGACACAGACACAGACAC